GATGCCTATTCCTCGACCTTTAAGTTTCCTTCTTCTCTTACGACAGCCACGAGAAAAAAAAAGGCATATTCTACTACACGGCAACATTCCCGTAGTTACAAGTTAATAAATGTAAAAGATGAATACTCATTAAATAGTGTCGTTACGTCATACGATATATAGACTATATATGTTATTAAAATGGAGCTATGGCTTAGCAGAAATGTTTTTGTACATGATATCGCAAAAACCAGTCTACACCGGATCATTGCAAGTTAAAGTGTGCTCTATGTGTTTGCTCAGTTGTTATATTTTACATAGTTAAGCATTTTCGAATTCAACATAGAGATTTGCCGATTTCTCGGCTATGTTAATTTGAATAGATATTTTATTTAAATAAGTAATTATTATTAGGTGTATTTCTATGAATTCCGTGGTCGTGGTTTGCTAAAGAAATCGCTTAATAATTTAGGCTTGAATTTTTTAAGTATGTGTTTAATAACGGATTTTAAAACTTTTTTTTTACTTAATTTGTAATATTATTTAATAAATAATCTCGATATGCCTTTTTATAGAAACATCAATGCATAGTATAAACAAAATAACTCGAATGGAGAATTTTTTTTTTGTGTTAACCAACTATGTCTTATAATATTATTTTTTTATCATTTTTATTTGACAAATTTCAAAACAAGTACCTGAATACCTATACAAACAGGAGCTTTTGACTAGTAATCTCACAACCTACTCATTTTAAAACGAATAAATACATCGATAAACAAAGTTTCGTAGATCCTCTCTCTCGCGTCGTATTCCTCAATTATTGAGGGTCATGACCCCCTCGCAGAATCACTTTTCAATAATAATAATAATAATTAAACAAAAATAACACAACGCCATCTAGGTAGAAAATAGGCAGAGCTACATCTCTAATAGATTTTCTTATTTTTTTTTTTTTTTTGTAAATATACATATAATATATTTAAATAGAATACACCCAGACCAACACAAACAGACACTCATGAATACAAATGTTTATATTGTACGAGTTTTGAACCCACGACCATCGAAAGTTTTTTTTGATGGGTGAAAATGATATGGTAACCCCGCCTGCGGTAACGGTATACGCTTGCGGAGCACCAGTGAAGGGTGATAGATGAGAATGAAAACAGGCCAGTTAGCCCATCATGATGAATTCATCAGGAATTAACCATGGTAGTTTGCAGGGAGAACCGCGAGGAGGTCGACCTGATTGGATATATTGCCACAATGGGATTCTCAGTCTCTATTGCTAACAATCCCTTCCCCCCCCCCCCCCCCCATCGAAGGTATTAGGACATATTAAACCGCTAGATCACCAAGATCGTTAAATATTCCCAATTATATTAATAATTGTAAACGAGCATAATAACTATAGTTTGTTAAGGGGCCCCAACCCCAGTTCACTTTAGTATCATGGGAAAATTAATTTTATACATTTAGATTATGTACATAATTTGTCAAATAAAAATAAAAGAAATTAAAATACAATGTCTATCATAAATTGTTAAGATATTAATTTCTCATATGTTTTATTCAGAAGGAATATATGTTATGTTTTATACACAATGCTTATATATACTTTCTCCTTTGGGGTTCTCAAGGTTGACTGCAAAAATCCCTTTGAGAGATAAGTCCGCTTATGTCTGTATTTTAAACAAATTATATTAATTACAATGACATGAGTAACGATTATATCGCTTCTTATTATGTTAGATTCAAATATACGTAAACAAAACAACTAATAGACAGCAGAGGTACAGACATAAATAGTGTTTTATTGTCCAAAATTTAACTTGGGGTCTATATTTCGAAATATACTTTATACAGTTTTTAATATTATAATCAAGAATTGAACAAGAATTCTAACTTACTTACTTATTTCTAAGATTATTTCATATTTCATTTCACTTACAATTTTCTAATCAAGCAATTAGCAATAAAACAAAATTGAACGTGCACCGCATTGGTTTATTGGTTTAAGCTCGCGATATTAATCTTTAATAAGACTTTATGCCTTCGCTTAAGCTTGTTTTATATCGGACTTATTTCGGGATAAGCATGTCAATTATCTACATCGCATATTAAGAGCAGCGCACTTTATTCTGAGCAATGACTCACGCAGAGAAAGTCCGTTACATCGCTGAATATGCGACAGATTTATCGTGGTTTATTAGTGATGGGACATTTTATGTATTTAATATTATCGATAATTAATATTTAATAAAATTAATAATTTCTGTAAATTTATTATCAAATATAATATTTATTTTATATTACATTCTTATTCTATACCAGAGTTATTCCATTACTACTCGATATATGATTAAGCCTATTCTACTACTACTACTAGTTTAAAATTTATTCAGTTTATCAAAAGATTTATAAAACTTTATGTTTACAATACGTCTATAATTAATGAATTTATTTATATTATGAAGACTAGGGCTTATTAATTAAAAACGAATTAAACAAGGAGGAAGCAATGAAGCCACGTGTAGGTTTCTAATAATAGAACATGGAATAAAACATAAAAATCATACCGGTATGATATCAGTTCAAAAATCAAGTTATTTCCTCATAAAACTCTTGTCCTATAACCTGCTTACTAGTTTAGGCAATTGCGCCCTAAGCTGGCTATTAAAAATAATCACAAATTAATTTCATCATTAGTTCGCAAACGCCTTGTTGTTCATCCGCTCCCGATTAGTCATACGTTTACATAATCAAATATGCGCACAAACCACATTCCGCGAACACTCTTCTATTTCAAACAAGCATTTCATTTTAATATTTGCATATCAAACACATTCTGTTGGCGCAGTGTAAAATCCTTACCGGAGGATCGTAGTCGGTATTCATGCTATTTGTATGTGGACCAATTGACATTATGGTTAGCAAACAATATATTTAAATAACACTAATGTAAAAAAATCGATTTATGTAAAATACACTATATATGGACATTATTATATAAACTAAACTTAGTCGTATAGGTCCCAACATAGAATAGGCCAACCTTTTCATTCCCGTGGGTATCGTAAGTGGCAATTACGGGAACTTATGCTGCATAACAGCATTCCTCTTAAATAACACCAAAATCCAAACTATGGTTGCCAACCCGCCTGCCAAGCGTGGCAACTTGCAAAGCCTCCTTATGGAGGAGGTCATGTTCAGTAGTGGACAGTTAGCGGATAGAATATAATACAATATAAACTAAACAGCTCTCAAGACAGTCTATTTTTATATTTTTTTTATACAACTTAGAATGGCAAACAAGCTGACGGCCCACCTGATGGAAAGTGGTAATCGTCGCCTATAGACATGAGCAGTACCATGGACATAACAGATACTGTTTCGCCCATGATAACCCCCATGCGTTGCCATTCGTGAAGACTCAGATGTTATTTTTCTGTACCCTGTAAATTTACACCATATCCCACCCTTCAAACCGAAACACAGCCATGCAAACACAACTGCTTCACGGTAGAAACACGAATGGGACAGAGGTACCCAGGCAATCAAGTTTTGTACAAAGTCTCCCTCTTATATCTCTATATTAAAGACACATACATGTTATATTATCCTGTTAAGCTTATCTTATTAACATAATAAATTTGTAACTCGACAATATCTGTACATGAGAGATACTTATGAAAAAAATATAATAAATTAATTTAATAATATTATAATTTTATAATTAAAATAATACCCCCGTATTAATAAGAGCAACAGAAGAGCAAGAAATGTCTATCTGTCTGTTTAATTCCGCGTCGTGTAAAAACTACTGCATGAAATTGAATACTGTTTTCACAATTGTATTCCTGAATGTCCACAATTTTCAACGTGCCTCCGATCAAACTGTATTATTCCTCTCCATCCAAATATGCCTGGAAGAGATCGCTTTTAGCAATAAGACCGCCCATTGTTTTCCCAATAATGATAATTTCTTGTAATTTTTTGTATCTATAATAAGTTTACTACTGCAATCTTTTGGAGAAAACAATAAATAGTTTCTATCTATCTATTTAATTAGATTCTTTTTTAGTTTTAATTCATTTATTTTTATTTTATTACAAATGATGAAAAAGATTATCAGACACTGAATAGTGAAACAGAAAAAATCGCATGAAATTATTATATTATAAATAATTCGATTCTATCGATGTAGGTATCCTACTACATTATTAGTTATTGATAATAACTACTTAATTTATAAAATTTCGCAAAATATCGAAGCAAAAGCTATTTTCCATCACTATCCGGTCGTCACCTGGGAGGCGGGGGTACGGGGCGCGGGGCCACAGACTTGGCGTCGCTATGTCGGGCAGGTTACGATTTACACTCCACCAACTCAGCAGAAACTCTGCCCGAACGAGAAATGCTGATAATCCACATCCACAGACGCTGCGTGAGAATTAGATCGAGATTACTATGATATTGCCATCGCGTGACGTTTTTATTGGCCATACGGATTTAATTAGATTCGAAATAGAGTTGTCAGAATTGCGACGTTTCGTTATAGCAATATCTAACGAAATATATACAATTCCTTTGATGCAAAAACTTTGCGTGACGTATTCAGGAATATTTATATACTTATCTATTTAAAAATATAAGACAGTATAAAATTATAAAAACGTAACGTGGATAAATCATAAGATCTAAGCGCCTAATATTGATATCAATATTGCAAACCAAGCTATATTTAATTAAATGGGTAAAGACGTCCCCATCCTTTGATATATTGCAAACGTATACAATTTCTAAATGTATTTTTTCTTTTACTAAGAATTATGTCTATTGCTAATATTGAAAGCTTAGTACTTATATATAATGTATATTATGTACTAAATATATGAGACAATAAAAGTTCTAAAGTCTATGGATAGAAAAATCTACAGTTCTAGCAATAAATAATTTTGTCCATCAATGTCTTTTTCTTAGACTTTTGTTCTTAGAATCACTTGTTTTTGTTCCAGGTCATTCATATATACTTCAATATGGCGATAATGTCACATCGATTGAGTTGGTGATGGTCAAAACTACATATATTGGAGCGACGAATAAAATTCGTGCTCTAAATATACTTCATGGAAGAATCCTGTTAAACTGAGGTTGTGGTGGTATTCTAAAACAAAACAACGATCATCACAAAGAAACAAAAACGAGAAGACCAGTTACAATCGAGACTGATACTAGTGTTCTAACAGTTGTTATTGGCAAGCAAAATTGACGATCAAAGTGTGTGATTGAATAATTAAAAGTGATATTTTGGACGTTGAAAATTTTAGGTTAAGATATTTGACCTCGCGTAAGTTACACTTGGTGTATGTATCGAGAATTTCCGCCGGTTCGAAACATCTTCTCGCTGTCCCCTCCTATACGTCATAAAAGTTAGGTCTGTTTCAATTTTGAATAGAAAGAAGATTGCAAACCTCCTTTTAATAGACTGATTTAAAGATTTCGACATAGCTAATGAAATCTAAAGCACGATAGGAATGCTTGACTGGTTCATCCGAAAGCATCATATAAAACCATCGAGTTTCATGGTTCGTAGTTTATTGCCATTTTTAGTTTCTAGTGTATATTTTCTACAAATGCCATACCCATTGTCATATTATAGTAATTATACGAAATATTTTTGTGAGAATCAAACTTATTAGTTTCTGGTTGTATTGACAGGTAGTTCAGTTTGGAATTTGCATAACGATAAAGAACATTGAAGCATTCTGTGTAGTTACGTTGTTTCCAGAAAATAAAAAATATTTTTGGTAAAAACTTTTTCAGAATAACACCAATTGTTATATATAAATATAAAATACTGCACGTAAAAGAATACCAAATAATATTTAATTTAAATTTTAACAGATCTAAGCAGATTGTGATCAAATTCCTTGATTCATTCAACATCAGAATCAAGATGAGTATTCATATTATTGATAGTAACTCTACTGATTGTGCCTGTTAGAATATTTTGAGAGGGAAATTTTGACGGTATGCTCATCGTTCAAAGATTTTTGTAATAAAACTTATGACTTTGGAATTTATGTCTTAGAAGTACGCACAAACAAAATCCAATATAGTCAGATCTCTAGTCCCAGATGTTAATTTGAATAAGCTACTTTGCCTACTAAGTTCAGATATTACTCATAGTTAAGCAGTGTTGAGGTTTAGCCCAAAGTAGCAAAAAGAATTCATTCTGTGAATTACCTCAGTGGACTGTTTGTGATAGATTTAGCCAATAAGTGTTCAATTTAGTACTTGTATCATATAAGTCAATTCTTGTACCTTTTGGCGTCCATTTGCATATATATATATTAAACACACTGGTTGATTTTGCGTATTTTTTATTTTATTTTATTCAATTGGCTCGTAAATTATTCTCCGCTTTTAAACTTTACTCTGTATATTTGCAGCTGATAATGGTGCTATAGATACTATTTTGGATAGCGCATATACCTAAACATTTTTAATTACAAAATTGAATACATTTACAGTAAAATCTATGTACAAAAATCGAATTACGTACCTAACGATACGTTCTTAGAAAATGGTGAATACTTTTCTGGTAGAATTTCCGTCAAACGCATTACTTAATACAATATTAATGGGAAAACCTTTTTAAAAATGAATTATGAAGATTGACAAAGTTCTATCAGGAAACTATATATGAACGTAACATGTGTCTACTAATGTAGATATTTTATATGATCAAGCCTTGGAAATGGGACGCGAGCGATGATCACACAATTTAATTTTCTATAAATATGTAGATAGTTAATATATAATTTTTTTTTTGTGACTTCAAGTCAAAATTGTCCTTGGACGTCGACAATCGACTCTTACTAGGTGATGGGAATTATTATAGTAACCATTTGCCAAATATACGTACGTAACAAAGCCCAATAAACTATTCGATTATTTAGAATGCAAAAAAATTAAATCGATAGTTATATTATGAGTGTTTTAGATGATTAATCTCTTCGGAGTTATCTCATGCAGTAGTTAAGGATGTTAGTTAATTAGGTATCTCTTGGTTGTTGAAATATTAAAAATATACATTATGACGAGACGTTATTCGATGTCAATCCATATGGTCAATTAAATATGGACCGAATTAAGTCTGTTCTCATTAAGGCCTAGCGTTAATGTGAAAGAATAAAATTGTAGACTCCATTGTGCTTTTAGTCCTAGTTTTGCTTACTATTTCATTTATACCTCAGACAACGTCATTGTAGCTTTATTATTTTATAAATTTGTAATTTTTGATATGATAAATAATACAATTCTGTCTCATACAATTTTATTTGTAATTATATATTTATTAAGTTACTTAATTAAATTTTATTTACAAGTAACAATTTCACTTTCATTATACGTAAGTTATATAGTTAGATAGAAACTAGAGCTAGAAGCACAGATATGAGTTAGATATTATGTATAAGTATAAAATTACACAGCTTCACTATGTAGGGGAATTATGCATGCTATTTTTTGTGTATTTAAATAAACAATACCTTCTGCAGTTGCATGCATAATTTTGATACGGAAACTGTGTGATTTAGGGACCCGATTTTACATAAACGTAAAGACATGTTTTTTATATACAAATTATATAATATAATATATATATATATTATTTATATATTATTTATTAATCGAATTGGACATTATAAGTGCATAAAGGATGCTAATCCAACTAAATAATCTAATCGTTCGTTAACATCGCACAAAAACGGACACAGATAATAGTAACGATGGATTCATCAAATGGATTTAATTATGAAATTGCCTTAAAATAATTCGATTATTGTTGGACGAATGTTACACATTACGGTTGTTTAGAATAGGGTCCCTAGTGTAGGTCTAGAGGAGTCGCATAGAAATATTGTTTGCATTAAACTGAGATTGTTCTCATTGTGTGTGCAAAAATATAAACGCGTAGTGACGCATTAATTAAGTCCCCATTCTATGATGCTCATGGGATTTGTCTAGTTTTTAATAGATAAAATATATTTTATTATTAGTCCATGGTTAGTAATCATGTATTTATAGGAATCAGGTGCAACTGCATGCAAAATATTTCTATGTGAATTATTTCGTACAATTATAAAAATTTTCTATGTTTGCATAGCTATTATGTTTATCGCGTAACATTCTCTTTGATTCGTTGTTTTTTTTTTCAGTTGCTTATTATTATTAAAATTATGACGAAAAATGTGAAAAACTAGTTAAATTAGAAGAAATTATGTGTTTTAATGTAAATATATAGACAAAAACATTGTATGTAGAAGTACATAAATATTATTTATGTATTAAATTTGATATTGTTTTCAAAATTTATTTGGATGTTTTATTGACCTCCTATATTCCCGATAGATGATGAAAGATGATCATAGACTCTAAAATTAATATAATTCTCAATTTGCTTGTATATTTTTTTAGCATATGTTTCCATTTTTAACCGAGTTAAAAAAAGAAATTCTATGTTTCACTGTATATTTTTTTTATGTATGGCCATTAATTTATCGGTCAATAGTGGGCCGAAAGTCTAAATAATTTTTTGTAATGGATATTATTACTGTGGTTGGTGGTGGTGGTGGTATGATCTGAGGTTGGTTGATATAAATATAGAATTACGTCATGATTAAAGACAAAACTGTAACAATAAATTAATGTATACTTAATTATATTACACAATATTATAGACACATATTTTTAAGCTGTTTAAATAAAAAAAAAATCAGTAATGAATAGAACTGCTTGTTTGCTTGTTCTTTTTGGCTTCGTTATCCAAAGATTGCCCTAAAATACTTTATTAATATTATGAAAAAAAAATTGATTATTTGTTTGTTTGTAATAGATAAATTCAAAAACTCCTTAGCCAATTTTAAAAATTGTTTCACCTAAATACAACTATATCATCAGAAAGTAACATAGACTATTAAAATAATTTTTGAAGATCCTATGTACCCATGTACATGTATGTATGTACTCGGGCCAGAACCCTAGTAAAACAAGAAGGTAGCATTAAATTTTGATATCTAGGTATCAGTTTGAGACTACTTACATAACCGTAATAAGTATGTATAATGTAAAATTACAGTCAACTGTATTGTCTAATAAGTGCCAATTTTTTTTTATCACTGGGGATGGCAAGGAAGCTTGGTAGGCGAAAAACCTGTTTTTAAATTCGGTGAATATCTAGGTATAAACTAACATATCATGGATAAATTACTACATTGTTTGAATTTATTCAACTTAATGAAGACCAGGACTTTACAGAAGTCGTCTGCTTGGGTTTTTTTTTTATACAACTTAGAATGGCTGGCAAACAAGCTGACGGCCCACCTGATGGAAAGTAGTAACCGTCGCCTATAGACAAAGCACTACCATGGACATAACAGAGTATACTGTCTCGCCCATGATACCCCCATGCGTTGCCATTCTTGAGGACTCAGGTGTTATTCCTCTGTACCCTGTAAATTCACGCCATATCCCACCGTTCAAACCGAAACACAGCTATGCAAACACAACTACTTCACGGTTGAAACACAAATGGGACAAGGGTACCCAAACAATCGACTTTTGTACAAAGTCTCCCTCTGGGTACCTATATCACACTCGTGTTTATGCCGTAAAATAACTATAGTTGGTTTGGTTTGAAGGGTGGGATTTGGCAGAGAAAAGACAGGGTACGAAGGCATAACATCATCGTCCTGGAATGACATAAATTTCCTAAATAGTAATCTAGAGAGAGACTTTGTATAAAAGTCGTTTAATTGGGCACCTCTGTCCCATTCGTATTTCTGTCGTAAAGTAGTTGTGCTTGCATGGTTGTATTTCGGTTTGAAGGGCATATGGCAGTGAATTTACAGAGTACAGAGGAATAACACCTGAGTCCTTAGGAATTGCAACGCATGGCTGGTATAATGGGCGAAACAATATACTCTGTTATGTCCATAGTGCTGCTCGTGTCTATAGACGACGGCTAAAAAAAGTTCCAGCCACGACTCGAATCCGGGATTTCATTTAAAGAACGTGCCCATCACTGCACCGTGGTCGTCATCGAAGGACACAAAGTAACAAAATAGGTAAGATGGTAAGTCTATGCATTTCACGTCGTGTATATATATAATATAGTGTGACTGTTTTATCTATAATAATATAGGTTATAGTTTTAGATAAATTACTACATGTTTGTCACTGGCCCACTAAATAGATGGAGATCGCTGATGGACATATTGTCTATGCCCTTAATCCGCGATGGCCACGGTGCCATTCATGTCTATAGACGACAGTTGCTTATCACTCTCTGTCAGTTAATTCCATCAAATCTTTGCCAATCCAAATTGTATAAAAAATATCTCGTTCTAAATATATATGAAATAATGAATGAAAAATAAGCGCACAACTTACATATTCAACTATACTTTGCACACATAATAACTGACACCAATTATTGGTCCAATATTACGCTCAATAAACTCAGGCTAAATTTCAATTTTTGAAATTCCTACATAAATTTTATGCCGAAAAGGTTAAGGTAATTGACGAAAGAAAAACTTTTATACGAATTTTTCGAAAGAATTTAGTTAGGTATAAGAAAAATATTTAGTTTTCAAATTAAGAGACTTGGACGCAACAAGTGTGTATCTGTCTGTAGTGTCTCTACTAATTTTATTACATGATAAATTAACTGTCATTTGCATAATTGTTCTCTGCCAGTAAGTTTTTTTTTTCTTCTATTACAATATTTTTATGATATTACTTTTTTTCAAAGAACTTGAGATTCGACAAAATCCCTCATTATGCAGCCTCCCCGCAACATAACACATTAGTATCTCAAGGGGCATTTTTATTATGAAACTTTGCGAATATTTAACGCTATGTAATAGACATTTTTTTATTAGAAGTGAGTGGGTGAAGTTTTTATTATGCCGAGAGCTATTTCCAAAGATTTTATACGAGTTTCAGCAGTCTCAAAGTCATCAGTTTATAATAAAGTTGTCATATAAAACTCTTCAATCCCGCGAGGATAGATGGAGGTAGTTGAATTTCGGGTATAATTTCGTTTTTTTACTAAGGTAAGACATGCTTGTTTCTTTTATTATATGATTATTATGGTTATATGATGACTAATATTGACTGGGAGAGAATGTTTTTAGCATTAAATCCACTGTGTATACATATAGGTACTCGTATGTACTAATAAATAAATAATTTTTAAACTTACGTTCATTTTCTTATATAATTATATATTATTTATTATCGGATACTTCATAAACTTACTGTACTTACTCTACTTATTATGTAGCGAAAAGATACGAAGTAAGCTCCGTACTTAACCTGATGCAGACTTGCATTAAGTCAAAATAAATGTCAAAAACGATTCACGTAAGAGTCTGGTAACAAGTTATATATGGATATTTATTTTTCCCATCTTATTTCTTCTCGATGTCTAATTTATGATAATTTTAATACCTGAATAATAATACAATATTTTTTCGGACGCATGTACATTATTTTAATAGGTATTTTAAATAGGTATATCCCTAATTAAACCTTTTTGATTTTGTTACTGACCCTAGCTGTAAAATAAAATAATAGAATAATTTACTGTCAAAAATACAAGCAATATCGATTTGTGGATTGGAATCCTTTTAATAATCATGAAAACAAGAATCATAGCTCTTGGAAAAACTATTTCTAAACTATTCGAACCTAGGACATATGCAACACATCCGGGTAAAACTTTTCATATATATTTTTTCCTATTAATAAAACCCTGGTGTTATCTATTACTATTTATTTAAAACTATTTATTAATTATACTCGTCTATCGTTAAAAAATACAAAAGTAAAAATTTTGCAAGATGTTAAAAAGCTGACGACCAATCTGATGGAAAATGATAATTATTTGTGATCCATTTATTAATGTTACCATTATTATGACCGAATATACTTAAGGAGAGCACGCAACAAATAAAAGGATGTGATAAGAAAAGTGCTATGTATGAATGTGAATAGAATAAGCGATGTAGATGAGAACCCAAAGGAGATGGATGTGCTGTGTGATAGATGAAATGGCCAGTGAAGCAGACCAAGCAGATGCAATAGTCTAAAAAGCCAACCCGAGTAGATGCATCGTGTTACGAGTACCACGATACTATGCTACCTATGACGTCTTCGTGCATTTTTCTGCCTCATTGTAAACAAGAAAGGACATTTATCTACGAATAATACAATAGAATCGGTATTACTCAGCATATGAAGGCAATATGCGTATTTTACAGTGTAGGTGATTTTTTATGAGTGCGCTTAAGGTATATGCTAGCGGAGCTCCAATGAGGGGTGATAGATGAGGATGAAAATGCAGTTAGCCAGCTGGTCATTAAGTTCCCTTAGTCGACTCTTACGACATTCACTAGAAAGGAAGGGTTGGCCCATTCTATGCCAGGACCACATGGCAATCCCTATTACTATACCTTCCTTACAGTGAAGGGTTATTCACAGAAACTAACACCCCATAGCTAACAATATATACTGTCAGTTAAACCTCTTGAAATCATGGTTAAATCCTGGTGAATTCGTCAAGATGGGCGAATTGACTTAAGTTCATCCTCACCCATCATCCTTAACAGACACCCAGCTAGCGGAAATCGATAGCATAGACGTTACCTTTATCACTTATTTATTAAAAATATATAAAGCTACTCGTATTTACAGTACGCTGTGATGCACATATGAATGAGTTACCTGTACCATGCGGACCCTGGGAGCTATGGTACAAAGATAGACAAAGTTATTACAACAAGGTGCTATTTGCTGGCGTTTCTTGGTAAACTATTAACTTTATCAATCTTATAAGTATCTAGTTGTGAAATGGAGATCATAGGGGGCAGATACAGCCAACTCTGTGGGTGCTCTGGGGATCCAGCATCCACGAGACGTAAATAGTGGGTGCGGAACACCTATGACGCTAGCATCATAACTATTAATATTCCTCGCCTAATTATCTGTTGTTTAAGTCGCAGCTTGCTTGTCCAGCAAGCAGTATACGTCTTTCAACTAATGATGTACCTAATTATGAAAAGAGCATAAGCATTCATGACGTTTTCTAGAAGCTCCTGTCAAGGAGACAATAAAAGTAGTCTGCTTAATTCTTAATTCTTTTATTCCACTGGTATTTCTGCCATGAACAAACTATGCTTGCAAGGATGTATTTTCGTTTGAAGAGTGGGAAATGGAAGTGAAATTACAAGGCATAGAGGGCCATAACAATTATTTTCATCAAAATACATATCGTAAAAACTTATAATCATCTACTGCCTGCAAAATTTTTGAAGTGGTCACTATCTCGCGGGGATTTGCATTTGCTTATACATACCATGTTTGTGTATTGCTTAGATATAACTATAAAACAGTGTTTATTCTACGGTAATACAATATTTTGCATTCTAGAATAAGTAAGAATTATAAAATTTGTTTCAATCGTCCTGACATAATTCACTAATTCTGATGCTGCTTTTTTCAGGTGGTTGTTTTCTTTATTCATGGTGATTTACACAGAGAGCATATTCCTAAATTGGGGTCCACCAGCACAGCCTGGACCCCCAAGTGACATGGTGGAAGAATGTGATGACAGCGACATATAAATAGTCCTTGTTGCATTGAAATAAAGTTCATTTCATTTTATTGTTTCTTTTTTATTTTCGCTCGTTTCTGTTCGAATTCTATTAATAGATTTCGGATTAGTAAGCCTTCTGTTACAGCTCTATACGAGCTAGATACTACAATATTTGGAAAAATGCCTGTTTTTTCCTAATATTTAACGTTATATACTATGTATAAGTAAATATTATTCTCAATTTGTGAGTATAATTATCTCTATTTAAATTATGAAAGAGACTTACAGACCTATTAATACCTGTGCAAAATTTTAAAAACAGATTTTTTATATATTGATCCTATGGTCAGGATTTAGGGTAATTTCTGACGTGCCACACGTCAGTAAACAATACATTAAGTACTAAGACAACAGCGAGACTCCCCAGCTAAAAGAAACTGTACCTGCGGTTCACCGTGCATTCCTAGTGATCTTTATTTTTTTCGTTATCGGGGATTGCCATCAAAAATATAGGATCGACCCTATATATATTAATTTGAAACGATCGCAATAAAAAACATGTTAGATATATGAAACTTACTTTATTCTCAGCCATTTTCACACTATAAATTTCTTTTAATATATGTTCTTTTTTTTAGAAAAAGATAAATACAATTTTCGAATCGAAGAGACAGCAATCAATAAGCGTGAATGCAATAATAAATTGTTCTTTTACAACAAGTGATTGGTAGTTATATTCTTGCGATTCATATTTTTATTATCTACTATTCGAAGAAATGTAATGCAAATAATATACTAAGTGTTACATAATTGTATACTTTAATAACTAATTAATCGTATAATATTGAACCACATTGTATTAACTTGGACAAATCCATTTTTAATCAATCATAGAGTTTGATGTGAGTGTGCTGTCAACTTGTAAGGTATCGAATAAAGTTGTACAAGTTTTTAGACATTTCTATAACGTGAAATGAAAATCATCAGCATCCTTTTATGGGAGTAATTTAGCATAAAAACTTGGCAGCTGAACATATATATACAGTAAAATAGTCAGTTAACATATTTCATTTGAACATGCTACCTATCTGTACAGTGTGAAATCGAATCATTGGCATCAGCATTATCGAACATTTTTCAAAGAAATATCAAAAAAGGATAACTGATATGAATGAAATGAAATGAAATGATACAACAAGTTATGTTATGTACCCAATAATGCCCCGTAACGGGACGTTATTGAGTCGTTACAATGACGTTGGTGATAATTAAAAGCGAAAGCGAAAACTAAGTTTAAATATTATTGTTTGTTACACACTAATCAAATTTCTATGTACAGAATTACTTATAGTAATTCTGAATGCAAATATTATACATTATCTTGCCCTTGCTAAGATTGAACAATGCAATAAACCTAAACTATCCAACGCACTGTTCGATAGTATATAAGGTACAGACTAAATATTAAAAAAAAAAAATGAGAATAATTTTAATCAAATCTGTGATAACTACTTTCAACACTAGCATGATAAATGGCACTAAGCCATTTTGTCACGTGGCAAACTATACAATATTTACGCAAACAATTTTCACTCAATTACAACATATCAAAATTCTCAATGCTAAATGTTCTCAAAAACAAGGTAAATAAACAAACCAACCACATACTTTGGAGTTGCATTTTAAATCTAGTAGGTAAGTAACCTAGGGTTATTACTTCATATTGACCAAGTTAAACCAATTATGATCACGAGCTGATTAATGCTCTACATTAATTAGAGCGGCGTCAGAAGTTGGTGAGATTATAAAAAATAAAATAATATTTTAATGCGAGGGAATGCAATATTTTATTGTTAAAAGTTTCATAAACACACTTTATATGTTAATAACTACCCGTTAAAACTAGTCGAGCTTTTTCGATTTAATTATACGCAATTTAAGCCGGTAGTTATTAAATTTAAATATAATGCAATGTTTGTACTGTTTAAATATAAAAAGTCAAGCATAACCTTCATTCGTGCCATGCGCTTATATTATAATTCACAAATAATAGACTCCCTTCTCTTCTCTTTCCTTCCATTGTATCATGAATCATTAGTTTTATAGTGAAAAGCGTTAACAAATAAAACAATTGTTTGGCTCTCTATCAATATAGATAAACCTACATATTGATGACTGAAGCCTATTTCTAATATCAGATTGAAATGTAGTTAACATAGATTTGAAACTTCTTATCTATAGTACCTATACTAATAATTATTGTTGAACACGAGTTATCTGCTCTCAGGCTTGGGTTTTGGTGGTTTGAAGCCCATTATCTTCTTCTTTTTCTTCTCTTTACTGCCACCGGACTGGAACGTTTTCCAGCTGTCCACGCGGTTTTGTCGAGACTCCTGGAACAGCATATTTATTATTACTCTGCACAGTATTTATGAGTTTTCGTATATATTTATAGGAATATTTGATTTGAAACTATCAGATTTCTTGAATGAAATTGTTTGACAATTTCACTTGAGAAAAGTATCAAATATTTTAACTCAAATTCCAAGTTATAGTTGGTTCCATAACAACTCATTATTGTCCCTCTTATGAGACTAGATCTCTCGTCTTGTGGGAAGAAATAACCTGTATGTGCACTACACAGATTGGTATAGGTATTTAGAGATTTTTTTTCTACTGTAGTTATATTTTGCTATTTTTCTTTTGTCACCTCTTTGACACCGTGAGGTTGAAATTGAGGGCAGACCCACTGTATAACCTTAATTTGTCATCACATGGTGCCTTAATACCTATTATTTACTCTGAGATACATAATATAAATATTAACAACTACATAAGGAGGGAACAATTAGTACTTGACCTCATTGTGAGTTAACTTCTGGTGAATATATCACAATTGTTTATAAAAAAAAAAAAAAAAAAAAAACAGGAATTAACGTTATCATTAGATAAACTATGACCTTATCTTAATCTGAAATTATCTTATTTTAATGTAAGCCGGTAACACAAAAAACATTACCTCGCTATAGTGTGCAGTCGGTAAATGCATTTTATAAAGAAATAGTGTTGTGTGCAGAAACCTTCAATATAATGACAAAATTTGTGTGATATGAGACAATAAATGGGTAGAAGAAAAGTTTTCTACTTCTCAGAAGTGGAGATATCATAGTGCCACAGCCTGTGTAACCTGATCCTAACGTCGACATAATTATCATAGTTTATCTAAATGATCACATTAATTCCTGTTTCTTATAAACCATAAAGCATGCAGCACCAAAGTTTAAAAGTTAGTTACCATGGGCCATCTGACCTCACTTCATCTTCACCTATCATCCCTCACTGGTATCCTGTCAGCATAAATCAATTGTGCATACAGGATTATCATTACATTTTCATTAATAAAAAAAACTAATGTCATACCTCAAAGTTCTTAGCCCATTCCTTCTCCAGAGACATTTGTTCTTCTTGTTCTATTTCTGCTTCACGTTTTCTCTTTCTCTCCTCCATGTCCCTTGTTTCTAAGTGCTGTCGTTTTCTTTCCATGTCAGCAAACAACTGGAAAATATTTAAAAAATAATTAAAATACAAAAAAATTCACAAGACACCTGAGTCCTCAGGAATGGCAATGCATGTTATGTCCATAGTATTGCTCATGTCTATAGGTAACGGTTACCACTTTCCATCAGATGGGCCGTCGGCTCGTTTGCAATGTTAGTAAAATCCCGCCTATGTCTGTCAGGCTGTATAAATATTTTTGAGCCCATTAGTTTTGACTCACAGATTAGGACAAAAGACCAGCTGTTAATGTTGCAAAAATCAATAATTATAAATAAATAGTAAAAAAATTCTTACCTTCATAGTCATAACATAAATTGCATGTTTGTATTTAGCTGGGTCATCCTCTGGAATCCCTTCTGCCAACCGACTTTCTTTTTTCAACTTTTTTCGCTTTTGTTCAATCTGCAATTTTTTTAAATTCAATATTAAGTAATAATTATCACTGCAGATAGTGATCAGATTATGGAGTGAGTTCCCAGCCAAGGTTTTCCCAAGAAACTACAGCATGAGGTTCTTTGAAAAGGGGTAAAGAGTAAGTTTACCATTGTAATCTTTTGGAAGAAACAATAAAGAGTATCTATCTATTTACAGAGGTTTCTTCAGAGTCGGCAAAGCAAGTGTAATACCCTTGGAATTGCAGACATTCATAGGCTACAATAACCACTTCACATGTGATACCGTTTACAAGGTGAGCCGTATGCTTGTTTGCCACCTCAGTGATATAAAAAAAATATACAAATAATATCCTATAATACTTTACTGTTTACATACATTTATTTTAAGAATACAGTGTATTAATTTTCAAATATATAATTGAAGAATTTATAATATCTCTAGTGATAGTAAATTATAATGTAAATAATTTATAGCAATAGGTTAGGTATAGGCTGTCAACCACAGCCAATTTAGTAGGTTGTACCTTTGCACCTACTTTCTAACAGTATACACTGAATACAGATATATATTTTACATAAAACCCCTAAAATCATTAGTTAATGTCAACATAATTTCAAATAATCACTGAATATTGAGTGAGAATTTAGTGAGTAATTGTTGAAACAAAGGTAATACCTACCTGTAATATTATTTATAGCTAATAAAAATTATTTTAAATTTTATGGACTTAGATACAAATTTATATTTATTTCTATATATTTCTAGTGCCACAAATTATTATTATGTAATATTTTTAAAGAATTACCAGTAAAAACAAAAAAAAAAAACTGTTAACTCTCACTGCTTAATATCCTGAGTTAACATTTACAATAGCAACCCCCTTCAAATTTAATGTGATATGTTTAACAAATTGTAATATTTACCATATGATCAGTCCTTTCTTTAGCTTCTTGATAAATATCCAAACATTTTTTCCTTGTATCATCATTTTCCAAAGTTTTCCATGACCTATTAACTATTTCAAAGGCCTGTTGAGCTCTCTCCGAGTCATCCTGTAATTGAAAGTAGTAAAAAGTTTGTATATATCCATCTGAGTAACATAAATGTGTAATAGTTTATTTTTCTTTTTACTAAAATAACTGGACCAAGGAATGTAACTTTATTTTTGTCTACTTCTTATACTGTTCACACTCGTTTCACTTTTTTATCTTACCTATGGAGCACGGAGTCCAGTTGTCTCACGATAGGATCCATCTGTGGATAAAAATGAAACATTGACGGGCGTAACCGTCTACACTAAACAAATGTGGCCCTCACTGCATGATCTTGCTATATAAATTATTGCTCATACTGAATGACTTTATTCTGTTAAAAAATGACATTGCTACTCGAATACTAATGATGATTTTTTTTTTTATTTTAATATATGCTGTATTCTTTAGATTGAGCTTTAAATATCTACAAGGAACATAAAAAGGCTTTAAAAAAAACTAACTCACTATATTTTTGTCTGGATGAACAAGAATAGACAATCGTCTATACTTCTTTTTAATTTCATCAAGTGATGAATCTGGTTCCACTTGTAGAACTTCGAATGGGTTGAGGTTGAAGTATGTAGAACCTGGCCGCAGAAGTCTATCGATTTGTTGTTTGGGAGTCAAAACAGAGTCACGCTTCTCGATCTCTTTAACCTGAAATTTTTTAAATCAGCACGAAAATTATAAGTTAATTATAGTAGATCATTTTAATTTGTCCAAGAATTTATTTGGATGTAACTCGGAAAGAAATACAATAAATTAGGGTCGACACAAGACATGGTTCTTTGCTTACCTCTGAATAGAAATCATCGAAAGACTCTTTCGCTGTTGACGGTGCCGACATGTTTTTAAAATCTTATATGAAAACATAAATTGAAATCACAATAACATCAAGTTTATTTATTTACTAGCGTCACTTTCTAAAACTTAATAGTATAGTCGATTCCATTAGTAAAAATAAATAAAAAAATTCCATGCAAAATTGCAAAGTCCATTCATTCAATTCAGATCATAGAACACTTCATTTCAGATCATTCCAATCATTCATTTAGTACAGATTAATAAATTAGACATAGATAAATTACTGGAAGTAAAGACCTAAGACCTTGGTAAAAACAATTGAAATAAATTTTAGATTCTAGAATAAGTATTTCATATATTTAAGAAGTAAATTGAATATCTACAAAGGCCTTTTTCACTTTCATTTCACTTAGATAGAGAATACCTATTAAGAGCGTTCATAACTTTAACGAAATGTGGCAACGTTGTAATTATGCGTCAATTTATAAAAAAAATCTCGTAAAATAATTTTCATTATTTTTTATTGATTACGTAAAAAAATCCCTCGTTTACCTAAAATTATGATCTTTATTAAATTAAATTATTATTTAATAAAGCTGTCCCCATGATTAATTTAATAAACATTTATTTAATACATGTTTAAATATTTGACTAGAAAAGCTTTTTTGCATCTGTTTATGTCTAAACAAAAGAAAGTCAATATTATTAAAAATAAAAAGGTGTTAAAAATAATAAATAAATAACAGTCTGTACATTTTGGCGCATAAAATTACTAATAAACATTAAACTGATTAAAAGGTAATAGCTTCTATCGAGTTTAGTTAAATAGTATTTTGAATAGATTTCGTAAAAACAGATAAATACTTAACTACGTTAACAACGTCTGCTGTTTTGATGTTAGTTTCAAACTCTCTTGAGTAAATTTTAAATAAATAGCGTTTTATGCATTTATATTACGCCATCTTTTAGCAAATGAAGTCGCTATATATCGATTTTTAAAAAGTAACAATTTTATCTCTTGACCGGTGTTTTTTTTACTTTTCTAGTCATATCCAGCTACTACCACCTACATAACAATCAGTTAGTGCGACAGATTACGTAACATTTATATATAAACTGATAAACACACAGAGGTTTTTATAAATTTATTGTTCTTGGTTCAGTAAAACCTTAAATTATATCAATAGTGATTTCATACGAATGCCTTACTAAAACAAGTTATTTTTTCATCCACACTGCGTAAAAAAGATTACTATAATGTACATTTATTACTAATTATTATGGGCAATAATATATTATAAGATTAAAGTGTCCAAAGAGAACGAGACACAGTTATTTTTTGTCTCTTTCTAGATCGCAATATATTAATTCCTGAAATAAATTAAAATTAAGCATATAGCTTGAAGATAGTTTAAATAAATTTGTTGTTAAGTATCAAATGAGGTGTTTTATTAATAAATTTTCTAATTCTAATATAGCACTAAGAACAACTTACTATCTTTGGTGCTGTCACATGATATGACAGGAGCTGTTAAAGTACAGAGTAATGTTAAAGACAAGTGCACGTGGTTACAAAAGTGTAGTACAAAAGTAGTAGTCATGTTTTAAATTTTTTTTGTTAACATTTTAAGGAGTGTTTAGTATATATACATATATATTCTGTTATTTCACCAATAGGAAAATTAATTTATTTCATTATTTACTGTACGCAATTATTTATTTACATAATATTAAAGTTTTCTAGACCGTCTATTATTTTTGAGAAGCATTTTGGCAGGATATTTTGTTAGGTGTTTGGTTAAGTGATCGTAGGTATGTAAATTTTATTAGATACACGAATAAGTTGTAATTATTACGGTTGGGTATCATTTTAACTAAATACGAAATACTGGTAACATTTTCACTTTTTGGATTTTAGCAATAGTTGCCGTACCCTAGTGCCTTATCCAAATTGGCAATTTTATACCGAGGTAGCTCGAGGTAGCTATTATATGTACCCTTTTTTTATTTCTGATTATGACAAGTAATTTAAAAAAAAAATGTTTTGTAGCTATCTATTCTGCCTCAATTTTATTACTGCGTTAATGTGTAAAAAACAACAGCGCTTTGGGCACGACAATTTTTGTCCGGTAAATCCGACTAGGACAGTTAAAAGTTTTAATGTCAGATTTTTAACTGTCCTAGGCCCTGTTATAGAAGGTGTGTAACCTTAGTATAATACATAGGTATACATGCCACCTATTCAGCTTGGTTGCGGGTTCGATCCTACTACAAGCACCCCTAAGAATAACTATGCACAGATCATGGACTGAATGGTTTTAATTATAAGTATTTAAATAATCTAAAAAAGATTTCGTACAATATACCTTATCAGACCGATCTTTGTGTAGTTCTTTCAGGAAACAGTTGTGATTAATTCGTCACGACCTGAGCCTGAGCTTTTAACTTTCACTTAATCTGTCATCTGTCACTGGTGCCTTGCGTTATTATATGTTGTATAAAATAATAGCACCGTTGGTACGATCAGAGTATGCTTGTATTGGGGATAAGTACCTACCTACTTTATGTACCTAAAAGCAGGCCTATGATCTTATTATTGTACCTGCATATTCTAAGTTAGTTCGTATAGAAGTAAAAAAAATATGAGCACTATGACTCGGTAGAAAAAATGTGATCTAATTTTAATATTACAAAAGTAAGTTACCTAATAAGTTTGCCTATAATTATTATAATCTACTTCTACTGGTACAATTTTGTGTACAGTACGATATGAATTCGTAGGTGCTTATGAACTAAGTACACTCTGATCGTTCAAAATTCTAAATGTTAATATTTATCATATCGAAAATTTGCTAAATCAAAATATATAACTTCTCAAGTAAATATAACCTTTATGTGAGTGTTGATGAAAAATTATTTGTACGAACATACTTAATGTCTGGAGGCTAAAAATAATGCCTACATTGCAATTAGTACTGGTAATTTATCATGTTGTAAATCATGATCTTTAGTTCTTATAAGGTTTGAATTTTGAAATTACAAATTTTATATTGTTTATAAGAAAAATATTCCTTACAAGTTCATTCAGAACTTGTTTCAAATTTAATCCTCAATTTAGTTTCAGCTTGAAATATGTATTAACGTTAAATCATGATCATATTTCGATAATTTTAGATTAAATTTTCCAATTATGTTACGCAGATACGATGTTTTCGAATAAAGTCGTGCTTATCACTGGAGCCAGTTCCGGTATAGGAGCAGATACTGCTTTGGAGTTTTCTAAATTGGGCGCAAATTTAATTCTGACTGGCAGAAACAAAAACAACCTGGACAAGGTTGCAAAACAATGTGAGGAAATTTCCCCGAAACAGTTGCAACCGTTAATTATAATCGCTGATATGAACAAAGAAAACGATGTCGATAATATAATAAAAATAACTATAAAACATTTTAAGAAACTAGATGTTCTTGTAAACAATGCAGGTATTTTAGAAGCCGGTACCATTGAGACAACTTCTTTGGCCCAATATGATAGAGTAATGAACACGAATGTTCGTGGACCTTATTATTTAACTATGTTAGCGACTCCGTATCTTATTGAAACAAAAGGAAATATTGTTAATGTATCAAGTGTAACTGGGTTGAGATCTTTTCCGAATGTTCTTGCTTACTGTATGTCAAAATCTGCATTAGATCAATTCACAAGATGTGTTGCTTTAGAATTAGCATTAAAAGGTGTTCGAGTTAACGCCGTCAACCCTGGCGTAATTACTACGGGCATACATAAAAAGGGAGAGGGGAGTATGAATGAGGAACAATATGAGGCATTTTTAAAGAAATGTGCCGAAACTCACGCATTGGGACGACCGGGCGAAGCCAAGGAAGTAGCATCTGTTATTGTATTTCTGGCCAGCGACGCAGCAAGTAATATTACGGGGGCAACACTACCTGTGGATGGTGGCCGTCATGCCATGTGCCCTCGATGAATTCGTTTTCTTAATTTATAAATATATATATATACGAGTACATACATATAATTTTTTTAATACATCGTTGTTTAAGTTTTATTTAATAGGTTAATTTTGGTTTATGTCATTTTCATTGGTTAATAATTTAGATCTTATATAAATTTGTAAGGTAAGACTATTCGTTGTGTTTGTTTATATGTAATGTGATTTGTCATTATGTTAGTGACGTACTTTCACTATATTTATCATGCTTCACAAATTCTCAACCAAATCCTCTATTGAAATATGTTGATATGTATGTTGAAAACTTTATAATAATTAATTTCATATTGTTTTGTTATCCAGATTAAATATGTTCTCGAACAAGGTAGTAATTATAACTGGAGCTAGCTCCGGCATTGGGGCTAAAACCGCTTTGGATTTCTCAAAATTAGAAGCAAAATTAGTTCTAACAGGCAGAAATAAGCAGAATTTAGATGATGTAGCGAAACAGTGCGAGGAAGTTTCTCCAAAAAAACTGAAACCACTTACAGTAGTAGCTGATATGACGAAGGAAAAAGATATTGAAAATATAATAAAAGCAACGATAGATTTCTACAACAAACTTGATGTACTTATTAATAATGCTGGTATTTTGGGATCTGGTACAATTGAAACAACGTCATTACAACAATATGATAGTATCATGAATACTAATATGCGAGGTCCATATTACTTGACGATGTTGGCTACTCCTCATCTCATAGCAAGTAAAGGGAATATTGTTAATTTATCTAATGTATCAGGTTTAAGATCCTTTCCAAACATCCTCGCTTACTGCGTATCTAAAGCTGCCCTAGACCAGTTCACGAGATGCGTTGCTCTTGAGCTAGGGCCAAAGGGTGTCCGAGTCAACGCTGTCAATCCAGGTGTAATAATTACGGGGATTCATTTGAAAGGAAGTATGACTGAACAGGAGTATGAAGCTTACTTGAAGAAATGTAAAGAAACTCATGCTTTGTGTAGACCTGGATACCCTAATGAGGTATCATCAGTGATTACATTTTTGGCTAGTGATGCTGCTAGTGATATAACAGGAGCTACACTACCAGTTGACGGTGGTCGACATGCTATGTGTCCTCGATAAATATTAGAAATTGAAGTTTCTGAAATTCATACATATTATTAAATTTTATCCCTACCTAATAAGTAACAAAGCATCGAATACGTATTGATATAAATTTTATTGATTAATATTTATAAAATTGTTAATACAATTTCATTTTACTTAGTTGAATTAGTATAAGTATTTACAGTAACAATGTTGATATATTTTTAATAAAAAGGTTATTAGTTGATATTTTGTCTATAAACTATAGAAGATATAAAGGAAAGGAAATAATAATAAGTTAAAATCCGAATAACAGAGGTAACTTCTAAACGTCTAGAAAAAGTATATAATTTTTTTTATATATTTCATATATAATATATGAAACATTTCTCAGGTGAAATTATTTGGTTTCATGAATACTGTCACTGGGTTTTAACTTAATATACATATAAAATAATATATCCAATAGAAAATGAAATTATAAATGTATGTCATAAATCACCGAACATTGAAATAATTATTCGAGATTATATTACATTAGCGTTTATAGTTTATAATTTACTTATATTTAATGAAAGTATATTTAAATATGAATTAAAGTTATAGTTAAATCCTAAACCGTTGTATTTGTTTTTTGATCCTTAACACATTGTATTACTTCAATTGCTTCCATTGTAATGTTACTGGATGCTGCTATTAGCCCTTCTATTGAACAGTTGATAATAGTATCTAGTACACCGTCGATAGTATTTCCCGATATCAATCGCTGAAATTAAATAGAGTTAGATAAAGCAGATTTCCCTGTTAAGTATTTTATTTGTCAATTAGTAAAGAGTAGAATTTTCGAAAATAATATATAATATAAACTTATGTTATTCGCCGAGAATATAGCTTTCTATAAGTGAAAGAATTTTTGAAATTGGTCGAGTTGTTTTTAAGTTTATTAACAAACAGATGTTCGAATTTTTCCTCTTTATAATTTTAGTATAGACTAGCTGACCCGGCGAACATCGTTCCGCCTAACAGTCGATTCTTTAATTTTTTTTTTATTATGATACCTACTTAATTTCATTTTTTTTTACTTATTCCAAATTAAGTTATATTTTTATTGACAATAGGTGTATCCGCGATTTCGTCCACATGTGACGGCCCAGTGGTGGCATGCGCGTGAGTTGCGCACGGCATTATACATTGCAACATTACTTTATCTTTCTAAAATAATAAACGTAGCCTAAGTTACTCCTTATTACATCAGCTACCTGCTAATAAAAGTCTCATCAAAATCGGTCCAGCCTTTTCAGAGATTAGCCGGAACAAACAGACAGACAGACAAAAGTTGTAAAAAATGTTATTTTGGTGTATATTGAGATACATTAGTAAAAAACGGTTATTTCAATATTACAAACAGACACTCCAATTTTATTTATATGTATAGATGTATAGATAGAAATCAGGTAAAATATTGACTTACTTTTACTAGTATCTCATTTTCCTTGTCATTTATTTCGTCTAATATATGTCTTCTAGCTTCATGAAGACACTCTTCATCAACATCATTCGTTTTCATACATATGTCGATATTTTTTTTCAAATCTTTAGCAAATTCTGATTCGTCAAGTATAAGAGATGTTTGATTTTGTAACAATGCAACTGGAATAAGACTATTTGACATGCATTCAGTTACGTGTTTTAATATTTGTTTTAAAACAATTTCTATTTCTTCTTCTTGATCCTGATAAAAATAAAAAAAATGTATATAAAATATTATACATTAATAATGAGAAAAGGGATTTTATAATATGATTATTAATTTGTAATGATTTATTAATCATCAATATGAAAACAACTTACTTGTAAACATATTTTTACAAGTTCTCCTGTACCCACTACTTTTTTTATAATATCTGTCATCTTCTCTTTAAGTTTATTCAAACGTTTTTCAAATTCAATCCTCATTTTTTCGGCACGAGTTTTCACGTTTTGTATCAAATTTGTTATTTTTTCCTTTGTATTATTGGCTATATTTTTAATATAATTCCAAGCGTTTTTGATACTATTTTTTATACTGTTTAATACATCGCTAGCACTTCGTATTTGATTATGACCATAATGATTTAATTTCTTCGAAATTTCACTACTATCATCCTTTAATAGGAACTTGTTATTATCTTGGTTATTATGTCCGACAATTATGTCTTTACTTTCACTTTTCTGAAATAAAACGAAAATTGTTTATTCATATTATTCATATTGTTTAAACTTATGAAAAAAATCATTTTGAAATTAATAAGTGAATTTAGTTAAAAAGTACTTATTAATCCAGTTATTGGCATTAGTATTACTTGCAACTTTTATCTTTACCGCTCTATTTTTATCTATAGGATACTCGTAGACTGCATCACAAAAGTTAGATAAAATTTAAACCAGAATTTACTATATGAATTTTCAGTAATGTGCAATTATATATAATACATACCTGAGATCCGACTATTATTAGTTGACTGATAATTAAAAAATAAATATTCATAGTTTACAAGTTATACTTTCCGCATACAACTCCAACGTACAGTGATATTTAATAGGTAGATAATTGAATAATTTTACTTTATATAATATCTTCACATTTGTGATTATTTACTTCGAGTGCTTAGATAAAATATACTGGAACAATATTATAGCTAAATTGGTTTTATGTTGTAATTATCTGTCATTGCTCTAGCTGTAGTTTAACATGAATTATGTCGAGTGTTGTATCAATATTATTTAGTTATTTTCTACCTAGGTATGCGTCAGGTCTATTACATGGTAGGCAAAGAAAATCAATTGCTTGATTTTATTATAAGTTTATTACATGTTTATCAGACTTTGGAAAGATAAATTTGCTGAAACTATTTTTACCATAAGTCTGCGAGAATTTCTGAAAAAAAAAATAGTGGATTCTACAACATAGTTACATTAAAAATGGTTGCAACTATTGCAGATGTTGGATATTGCAGAGATATTGTTTTATAGTTAGTAGTAATAGTATTCCTTATATCATATGTTACTAATAAATAAGTGTTATTATTACGAGACAACGTCTGCACTGGATTATTTCTTATTATGCAATTTACAATGAAACTGTGTGTATTATTACTTTATGTTATTACTGTAGATGTTTGATATGTAGTCTCAATCTTTGGAAACTCAAAATTTTATTGACGTTGTTGTCTCAATGTTATGTTGTCATATTGCGCTTTTTTTATGCATTTTAGAATGGCGAACAAGCCAACGGCCCACTTGATGGAAAGTGGTAACTGTCGCCTATAGACATGAGCAGTACCATGGACATAACAGAGTATACTGTTTCGTCAATGATACCTCCCTTACCCCATGCGTTGCCATTCCCGTGGACTCAGGTGTTATTCCTCTGTACCCTGTAAATTCACTGGCATATCCCACCTTTCAAACCGAAAAACAGCCATGCAAACAACTGCTTTACGGTAGAAGCACGAATGGGACAGAGATGCCTAAGTAAACGACTTTTATACAAAGTCTCCTTCTGGTGAGCTCTATCGCTTTTAGCATATTAGTCTTATTAGGTATCAACAAATAAAAACAAAGAAATTATGAACAACAAATATATTTTATTATTAAAATTGTTAGAAAATTAAGGACTGGAATCAACGAATGTATTAAATACTGAGGAAGCGGAACAACTGCCAATGTCCATGATAACCTTGGTTGTTGCAAGACCTGTCTCCACCAGCTGTGTTCCTGCGCAAACCTCGAGAGCAGCTGGAAGTGTCGCCAAGGCTAAGTTGATACGGCTTATCTGAAATAAGAGCATTTTTGTATAATGGTACTAAAAACATATCATGTTCTGATATAGCGTTTACTCTCTAACTGATAAGATAAACTAATCATGCATATACTCGTATGTAATATGGATATGAGATGAATTATTCGGAAAGTGGACGAAAATAAAAGATATAGCTGTGTGAGGGTCAAGTCCGTTAGCACTTGTTTTTTTTAACGTGCTTACATCACGCCGGATTAGCGATTAATGCTCTACAAATCGCAAATCCGACTCCACATGGAGTATTGCTGTCACTTATGGGCCGGAGCACCTAAATACCAGCTTGAACCTTTCGACTCGTTGCAACGACGAGCTATGAGAATTGTCGATGATCCCAGGCTTACAAGCGGTATCGAACCCTTAAGTATTAGGAGAGATTTTGCCTCACTCTGCGTGTTCTACCGCTTGTACAATGGATTGTGCTCAGAGGAATTGTTCAATATGATGCCCACAGCCACTTTCTACCATCGTACGGCTCGCCATCAACAGGGAGTTCATTGTCATGTCCTACAGCCTCAATGGTTGCGTACTAGAGTATTTCCGATTAGAGTTCGATCTAACAGATCGAACTCTCCTAAGGTTAAAATTTTTAATATAATATTTAGGATTTACGAATACAGGATAGAAGTAGGTACTTACCGTTAATGTGTTTTGAGCCAAAAAGATACCTCCCTTTAACTCGGTTTTAAGTGCAACTTTACCCAGACATGCGCCAGTAGATAGGATATTTGGAGAGTCCTGGTTCTGGTTCATACATTCCCTCATTCGTTCCATAGCAACGTGAGCGAACTCTGAGGCATTAGTAGCTATAAAATTCAGTTTATCCAATTGATCGCCGATCTCCTTAATACGTGCATTAGCACAAGTCATAGTGCTCTTCAATGTTTCGTTGTATAGGGTTTCAGTTTCGCCTTTGTGAGACTAAAATATATTTGATATTATATTTTATTATTATTACATATCTTCAACATTTATAGAAATAAATTTATACTGTAATTTGATATTATACATGATTATGGAACATCGATAAATAGAATATTTTAGTTTTATGTACGTTTGTATGGATCAATGTAAAAAGAATATTTATGCGAGATGTTATTTTTTGTCTTTGTATTGGTTTAATTTAATGACCGTCTGAGAAAGTTGTAGAGTCAATAATAATGAATAGGGACTTTTTATAAAGACCTGGTGTTCTAGCTTTAACCTTCAATTAAATGTGATATACTCATATTTAACTGCTTAATGTGTTTAAATTACACCAGATAAGGTATTATAAGCGTTCATAGGCTACGGTAAGCATTTACCATCAGGTGGGCCGTATGCTTGATTGCCACTTCAGTGGTATAAAAACAAAAATATATACTTAGCTGTACACAATTTTAAACTATTCTATATAATTGAAACCCGTCCATTCATTTGGGAGTCAAAGTATTGTAGAGAAACACATGCAAACAGGCAAATGCTGCAATGTTGTATCAATTGCTTTTTTTATATCATGGTACAATAATAATAATAACAACTTAAGTTGCTGTTGCCTCGATAAAAAGAATTATTACCTATATAATTAAAGAAACTTACATTCACACATGCTTTTACAGCGCTACTAGAATTTGAGAACTTATCGGACACCGATTGGATAGCTTGAGTAACTCGGTCTTTGAGTTTCTGAATATTTGCTGTAACTTTCTCTTGCAGTTCTTTCAGTTGATCGAACATACCTTCTCTGAATTTTTTGACAGCGTCAATAGCATCTTTTGCAGAGTTTTGTAAATTTGTAATCAATTGTTCGACTAAAATTCTGTAAGTGACAAGAAGATTAACACAAGAAGAGAATGTTGAAAACAATTTATCGAGGACAGGAATGGAGAAAAAGAATATCGAGGACCGATTTTCCTTGATTTTCTCAATCTTAGAAGTACACGATGTATAAGTGCACACGCATACAATTACAGGTGTGTATTATAATTGAACTAAAATATATGCCAACGACAGTTTCTTGTCGGGCCCAAAATCCTATATAAAAAATGTCAATTCAGTAGTTTAGTTTTGTAATAAAAATAACTGGTTTTTTTTTTGTACAATAGAACACAAATTATCCGCAAAGAAAATTTTCTCGTTTTTCCAAGTTATTGTGTAGACATTATTGATTATGTACCTGTTTTGATGTTACGTTCATGATGCTCTCGAAAACATCAATGTAAATGATACTTGTCTACAGATTACAGATATGGATTATCTTATATATAAAATTATCGTGTCACGGTGTTTGTTACCAAACTCCTCTAAAACGTCTTTACCGATTTTTATGAAATTTTGTGTGCATATTCGGTAGGTCTGAGAATCGGTCAACATCTATTTTTCATACCCGTCAATGATAAGGGTGACTCTCCCCAAAATATTTTGTTTTTATTTTTTTGACAAATTTTTCCATTTTTATTTTATTATGATTTAGCATTGAAAAATACATACGACTTTAAATTTTCATCGTTTTACGATCAACCCCTGTATTTTAATTGCGATTTTTATATTTCGCAATAAGTGGTAAAACAACGTTTACGGGGTCAGCTAGTTAAGATATAAAAATAAAATACATAAGATTTTTCATACTTTCAGGTAAGTAGGTACCTACGTGAAATCTAGATGAACGTAGAATCCAAGATATATCAAATGATATTCAAATCCGTTCATCTGGATTAACCAACCAAAAAGAGAAAGAGACTAACCAACCGTTAAAGGTTGTAACTTAATTTTATAATCTAGAAGGTGAGACACAATAATGTATTATTAATTTGGATGAAGGTAGATTCCAAGATATACCAAACGATATTTAAATTCGTCGATTGACTAATCGATTGACCAACCAGAAAGATGTATAATCCAGACAGTGGGCTGCAATAATAGATTACAGATGAATAACGCATTAGGTATACCACGGACGTCATTCGAGGTGCATATTCAGCTGAAAACAATGGGCAAGAAACTCAACTGTTGCTTACAAATAAAGTTGATTTTACAATTATAAATTTGTGTCAACTCAGACTAGCAAACAGCACGAGAGTTATTTAAATTACTAAAATATAGTCTACCAAATTCATTATCGTAAAACAAAATAATAAATATTCAAATATAAATATGTATTCTGCGAAGTTCATGATGGTATGCATATATATCAGTTTTAACATTTTATATTTAGAGGACCATCAGTTTGTTTGTCGTTCCAAATTGTATTAAAAAATACAAGTTTTATGTTGGTTAAGATATATTTGATAACGTGTGAAGCAATCTTATAGTACTTACAAATAGGTGTGTAACTTATAACTTCTAAAAAATAGGAATCTAAGAGGAATTATGTTTTATATTCACGATCGGAACTTAGACGATAAAAGTCAGGTGTGCAGGTACAGTTTACTTGTAATTGCGCTCCGGTAGTGAATTTAAAATATGTATAAAAATAAATTATGTTTTACTTGGTATTTCCGAGAAAGTTTGTTTGGATCTGCATTCGCGCCATGGACTGATTTTCAGCACTAACAGCTGGATTTGCTAAAGACGTCGCGGCCTAAGAAAAAAAAGGAGTTTCTTTCATTTTTATCGATTAAATATTTGGTGGATTTTTCAAATAAATTTTTGATATCATAGTATATGAAGATTTATCTATTGAGATGATTATCTTTAGACGAAACATTGACGACACATTATCATTGAAATTATCGGAGAGTAGGAAAGAAAAATGATGCTCAAAGATCTTTTTTCAAGGATTATAATGGTATGGTCACCCCATCTATGCTATCAGTTTTCGCTGGTCATCGGTGGTCATTGGTGAAGAAATTAGGCCAGTTAGCTTACCATAACCAGAACCTACTGGATTCCGGTCTTGCTGAGTCATAAACCTCAGGATAGGGAATACCTTAAAAACGACTCCCTTAATTTAGAAACCGTTGGCTGTAGAAAGGACTGTTTTGGCTAAATGTGTCTTATAACAATTTTAATTAGTCTTAATACAAATTACAGTATTCATCAATGTGGATTAATTTTCAGCAATGGGGTTCATGAGGACCAAAAAAACAGAAGAGTGATGTTTATTATAAAAATAGTTTTGGCTTTAATATTATTTATTAGGATTTCGTTTTTAGCCTAATGACGTTATATAAAAATAAAGAAAAAAAAAAATTAAATAAAAGATGATGAAAAGTCATAATCCGTTTCTCAAATTTGAATAAGATATGAATCGATTATTTGTAAATAACAGAGAACTTACCATAGCCAAAAGTAAGAAAATAATTGAAGCACGCATTTTGATTTAAGTAACTTTTCAATGTTTTCAAGTTGGAAGCACTGAATGATGATCATTATTCATTATGGTATTTATAGTATCTTTGGACACATGCAATAATTGTCTAGGTATTTTAGAGTAAATATGATTTATCTTATCGTACCTACCCATGGGATGTAAGCAAATATTGTTATTTAATTATGAGAGCATTTTGTTAACTCTATATTGCTGTGTTTTGCAATAGATATCTAGTCATAAAAATTGTTTACCTCAAATTCATCATTAATAATCATGTAGATAGGTATGAGATAAGTAATTGACCCCTTTTTTATTTATTTACTACTTTTTACTCGCAACTTTGTCTGCGTAAACAAAATATTTGATGACTGGTAAGTATATACAACGCTTCGGTAAGTATATACAACAACACTTTCACATAACATTAACCAAATCCTTTCACGTAGGTGTCGTAAGAGGCGGCTAAGGGAGCAGCAGAGTCCCTATTGAAACATCTCCAAAGCCTAACTGCGATTGCCAATCCGCCTGTCTCAACCCTTGGAGGGTTTTGCCTTATGTTTAGCTGTAGACAGTTATAGGCTGATATGATTATAACATTAATTAGAGGTACATATATTAATTAGAGATACATAATACATCGTTATATGTAGTATATATATTTATACATATCTCGTTTATTGTTTACTAAACATATAAGTTTCTGTTATTTTAATGTTTATGCATTTTTTTTCACGGGTGAAAATGAAATAGTGACCCCGTCTACGCTGTTTTTGCAGGCGAGACAGTAGGTGAAAATAAAGCAGGTTATTTTGACCCATTGTGACTTCTATAATCGTTGAATTCATCAATAAGAGTAATTCACCACGATGGTTGTTAGGGGGAACCGCGTGAAGGTTCGCCTGATAGGGTATATTTCTAGCCATATGACAGTTAGAAACGTTTACTAATAATTTCTTTCTCCCATTAATCTTTATGTATACCTACATATATAGATATACGGTACAAATGAAAATTATTTTCCACTAAATAATTTTGAATTTCTGTATTATATTTTTATCTAGGTAAGGTCAGTTCCAAAAGCTGAAAGAACATGCAAGAGGAAATGATAATATTATGAGATCTATAAACTATGAGGGACGTGTGTGATTCCTGAGTTCTATGATGTTATGCCTCTGTACCCTATAATTTCACTGTCATATTTATCAAACTGAATCAAATAAACACCTTGTACTGCGTAAAAAATACTAAGATTGTTCTCATTTTTGTGAGATATGATGCAAGTGTAGGTGATAAATGCAATTCAAGGTCTAAGCAAACCGTTATCTGTCATTATTTACTTGAACATAATGATAATAAATTATAAATGTAAATTATACAATTGAAATATGGCAATATAGGTGAATAATAAATATTTGTTGAGACTAGTGTAAAAGTATGTTTCATTACCCACAGATAGATAATAATTTTTATTATCTTTAAGCATCCAATTATTTTTTTGCGACATAGGTAAGAAGCGGCAGGATTTTTTTCGACGAAATTAGAAAGGGTTTCCTATTTATTATGTGAGTACGAAGTCATATCCATCGTGATGAATTTACCATGATGATTTTCTCCTTTAGGAAATTATCGTACGGGTTGATCTTGTATAATATATTTTTACAGAAAATATTTCATTTTTATTATCTTCTTTTTAAATACATATTACGTTTTATTTTAGGATATAGCAAAAAAATTACAGGGTTCAGAAGCATAACAGCTTAGTACTCAGGAATAGCAACGCATAAAGGATATTATGGGCGTCACGGTATGCTCTGTTCATGCTACTGTTTATGTCTATACGCGACGGTTACCATTTTCCAACATGTGGGCTGTAAACTTGTTTGCCATTTTAATTTGCATAAAAAAAAATTGTGTATTCAAACTCTAAACGAATGTGTACAGTATTTTTTTTAATTTTATATTGCCTAGGGTATTTTTGTATTACATAAGACAACGAAATTAGGGTTAACAAAATGCAAATTTAATGCCTTCAAGGTGTATTAGAAAATTGTGTTATTATTTTACACATAACTCGGTCAAGTGCCGCAAAACTGGATACCTGATGATTTATGTTAGTCATGAGATCGTAAATTAATAGGTATAATATTTAGGTACTAATCATAAACAGGGTTTTTGCACATATGCAGTGATTGTCTCTGGTTCGAGCCGTTTTAATCATAGACTTAGTATAACAGGTTTAATACAAGTACACCTAAATACTAAACTCATTAAGTGGAGAATTGTATTATTTTTTATTAAAGCGTCTTGCATAATCATAAATAAATTACCTATAATATTTAAAAAAAAATCAGTTCAGTATGATTAGGTTGTTTTTTTTTTTAACGAATCAGTACAGGACTTTTTGTCGGTGTTTATGGAATGGTAACTCCTGGTAAGTGGGCTAACGTAATACGCTATAAGTACCGGGATGATAGAAGAGGATGAAAATGTAAACTTATACCGTTTGCACTAAGATGAAAATTCAGATCACTTAGCCAGTCCATCGTGATAAATTTCCCTGGTATTAAGCACGATGGTTTCTAGAAGGGACTGCGATCAAATCGACCTGATAGGATATATTTTTGGCAATAGGGCTGCAAGTTCATTCCTAAAAGTCTCTTCACCCCTAGCAATACATGTGTACTTGTGTATAATGTCTTTGCTTATTCTGATCTGTTTTCTATTCATTTCAGAATTAATAATGTTTACTTCTGTGTTGATCTTATATTAATTTTCTTACAATTGAAATCGTTGGCTTTTTATGTCGAACAAAATCTTAAATTATAGATTATTATGACTAAAGTAATAGTATATTGCATTTGTGTTTAAAAATCGAAACAAAGATAAAAAATGTACCAGCGACTATAGCTAATTACGTATCATATTACAACACAAATTTTATCTGTTTTTATACTAAATATTTCGATTATAAAAAAATATACATTTTACTCACTTACATATACCTTTACGAACATATAATATTAAATATGAAATTAATACAGGTATGACAGTTCAAAACGGTATAAACTTTTATAACGCCTGCAAATTTTTGGAATACATATATTATTTTTATATTGTAACATTTTGCTATTTTTTACGAGCAGGGATACGATATAAATACATACCCAAGTTATTTTCATATTATAATATACTAGATTTCTAATGTTGCCTATTTCTTTGCCCAGGATTTATTATATATTTTATTATATATTATTGGGGCACCAGTGAGGGATGACAAGTGAGGATGAAAAGTTAGTCCATCGTGACGAATTCCATCAGAATTAACTACGATGGTTTCCAGGGGAAACCGCGTGGAGGTCGACCTGATTAGGTGTATTGCTAGCAATGGGTCAATTAGACCCTATTACTAACAATCCCTTTCCCCTCGAGGTTTGCCAGTAAGCGCTACGCTTGGCAGACTGGTTAATAACCGCAGTAACCTTTTTGTGAAGTTTTAAAAGGGACTTCAACCTCGACTATTAAATTCCTTTGTTTCCTTTTATGACACCCACGGGAAAGGAAGGGATGTCCTATTCAATGCCTATACTTATTACGAATTAGGTTGATTTATGATATGTAATACATTACTATCCTACTCGGTTATCCATCCAAAGTATTACCGCACCTAACGCTCCATAACCTCGTTGATTGACTACGATGAGCAAGTGCAATTACACCTTAGAACGACTATTGAGTTGATGATTTATAGCAATTTAACTGCTTGTTATGTGAAAGTCACGTTGATGACTAATCAAGTTAATAGACTCTGGTAACAAGTTAATGCGTCTGTGAGTAAAATATCTCGATTTCCTCAATACGTAACATGACAAGCTGTAATACAGTGTAGCAATATAGTTACTTTAGATTAGAGTAAATCTGTAAAGAACAGATCTAGATTCTAGATTTCCTTATTAGATACAATACTCGTATCTACGCTACGCTTTCAGTATACTCAGGTGGGGGGAAGGGATTGTTAGTAATGTGGGCTACCCGTCCCAATGCTAACAATAAACCCTATCAGGTCGACTTCTCCGTGGTACTCCTGGAAACCATTGTGCTGAATTCCAGATGTATTCATCATAACGGGCTAACTGACCTGCTCATTTATTCTCACCTATTATCTCTCACTGGTGCCCCGCCAGCAGATACCGTTAGCGTAGATGGGGTTACCATTCCATTATTATCCATTAAAAAAGTATACTCAGGTAGGGTACCAATAAGCGATGATAGGTGTAGATGAAGATAGGACAGTTAGCCTATCGTGATGAATAGATCTGAAATTAACCACGATTGTTTCCAGGGGGGTTCCATTTTATTTTAACTATTATACTGTTTTGTTACTTTCTTTCAAATTGAGAATTTAACACAAAAGAAAGAGACAAAATAGTTCAAAAGCTAAAATAGATTTTATGAGAGGTTTGACGTTTTTATGAATAAGGGAATTAGTTTATTGAACTTCTCAGTAACAGAATACAAAAGACATCTTTCAGAAAGGCTTGTTTAAATTTCCTAGTAGTTGTTCTTGTGATTTTGTAAATAATCAAAAATGTAGACTGATGTAATGTTTTTGTATGTAATATACAAAAATATTACATTATTTTGGTCAATGTCGAATTGTATCCTCAAAATACAAAACAGTTAAACTTTACATATTAAAGTCCTTAAATAATTGTGATTCGCTATGCTATTGACATTGTAACTGTTAGTTACGTTAAAATGGTCTATCGAAACTCAAGTTTTCCCCAATAAACTATTGATGACTAGAGTTTATTTTATAATGGTCTAGTCGACACCTGTACATACACATACCTACTTACTTTATTTGCAAATAGGTACTAATCAAACAAAATTGTTATTCAAAATTATTTTACTATTTACTGTATGTAATTATATTATGAGTTTAATAGTTTCTTAGTTTTAACGTTTACAATTGGTAGAACTGGTTTTTCAATGTTATCTAAAATGACCTACGATTTTTTAAACTAGAAGGAAATATAGCAGCTTTGTCTGCACGGCGGCCGC